CACCTAGGTAATCTAATCAACGAATACTAAAGTGATATGCGAAAGTGGGGTCTGGAAGAGATCTCCTTATTTGTCATTTCGTAGTCGGTTGCTAGGCGGTTGCCAGGCAGTTGCTATTATAGTTACCCTTTCAGACCAACGCTTGTGTCCGTAGCGCAGTACCTAGTTAGCACACAGCGCCACCACACCCTCTATCTATTTTCTCATCATGCTTTCTGACTGTGATTCATTTTACTACTCTAGTAGAGGGGGGGGGGGGGGGGGGGAAACATGCGGCGGAACTCAGCCATAGGCGTAGGGGTGTGTGCAGGGCCAGATCGCCGTCGTACAGCACAGCTATACATCGCATAGGGGTTAGATATATTGTTTCTTCAAAAGCGAGCTTCACAAACCCTCGCCCCCTTTTATCTTCTTATGAACCCATCCTTCCGCAAAGAGAAATACAACCTATAGAGGTCGGTAAAAACGAACCCTTAGGCACCAACTCTGCATCCGAAACGCTAACCTTCGCCCCCTCCGCATTGGTAAACCCGGCATTCTTCGTCGTCTCCGCCACACTCAATGTCGTCGGCACCGCAATGCTGGGAATCCATTTCCGCCCACCATTCGCATCGTCATTGTTAACATGCAAATGATACGCGATGGCTTTTGCGGCGTCGATGGGCGATCCGCCTCCGACAGAAACCAGAACGTCCGCACCGGATTCCCGGACTGCGCTTATGGCGGATTCGATGTCAGCTAGTGGGCTGGTTGGGTTGAACATTTGGTGAGCGTTGGCATATATATTTTAAGGTGTAGTATTTTTTTTTTATTTTTATTTTTTTTATTTTTTTTAATTTTTTTTTTTGTTGTTGCATGTATAGACAGCAACAGGCGCAAGGAAGGGAGGGGATTATTTTAGATTGCCTCAACCCCATTGTTACTAAGGCATGAGAACGCACGCATGCTGCCGCACTCCGCTATAAGTGCCTACGTGATGTTCAACGCCTAAAATCTCCTCTATCTGCTTGATCACCGGCGTCTTTTCCCGCAGAGACCTGCCCGTGATAATATACGCTTTTGAAGCGCCCAGTTTCGCGACGACGTCAGGGAGGGAGGTGATGCATCCTGTCCTTTGGTCGTTAGTTACGGCGTGAAATTTGATATTGATAGCACTATAGGGAGGGTAAAGCGAGGAATTGGAGGGGGAAAGATGTAACAAGATAGCTGTGATGATGGAGTGCGAATAGTTACCTCGGCCATAGAGCATATACTTAATTGGGGAGGCCGAATATGCGCCGCGAAGACTGCTGTCTATGCTATGCCCCTGGATGATGGGCGAGGAGGACGAGGATGCCATGGTTGATGATCACTGCACGGTGGGTTGGGGGTAGATGCTCTGTATGGTTGTTGGCGTGGGCTGCTTGATCCCCTTCTGCCTCGGGTAGTTAGTTATTTGTGTCTGGTCAGGCTAAAAGAGGCCGCATCCTCAGCTTTGATCTCCCATGTTTTTTTCCAGTGATGCAGAAACGTCAAATGCGATGCTCGAATGCTCACCACTCGTTCATCTGGAAATATACGGGATCATGGCAAAACATCTCTCTGCTAAATAGCCAGTCAATCGTTCGTCCGTTCCTCCGTGAACAACCGCATAATACAACGGATTATCACGTCCTCCTTCAAGTGGATGATGGTTCTCAGAAGTATCAGTATATCAACTTGTCAAATCACGTCTCTTATGCACCGACATGCGCCATTCTTCTCCACATACCTGCCTTCTGTCTCTCCTCTGCAGAATCTTCCTACAGCCCTCACCACACAAAAAGCAGTAGAAAGAAAGCAAAAAGGAAGGGCAGGGAAATACAAAGTGAACGCCCATAAAGACCGCAAAACCCAAGCAAACAACACTCACAATGCAGGATCCTCCATGTCACCACCGTTACCTGCTCGTTTGACAAGAATTTAAATATATATACGTAAATAACTCAATTTTGTTATCCTCTATTTCTTTATTTCTGTCTGTCTGTCTGTCTGTCTTCTACTTTATCACCATCGCCCCATTGTCATACCGCTAGCAGATACAATTGGTGGGCATTCCACCAAGAACACAAAGAGACGAAAGAGGAGGAACAGGATATAGCACGGACAGGACTGACCAGTCGGGATCCGGAGACCGGGGACCGGATGAGAGAAGCTGAGCTAACCCGTTCAACGGCTAGGATAGATAGGACTGGAAGTGGAACTGGAACTGGTACTGGTACTGGAGCAGGCAAAGGAGAAAAGAAGCAGAAACTTTTTGCGGAACCTCGGGATATCAGGTACAGTACGTACATACGCTGGCAGTTAGCAGAATACTAGGAAACAGGCAAACAGGCAGATTAAAAACCAGCAGCAGCAGCAGCAGCAAACGCGCAAAGAAGGGGAAAGGGAGAAGAGAAGGGAAAGAGATCCCCCATACAAGAAGAATGAAGAAAGAGAAGAAAGAAGTAAAATAAAATAAAATAATAACTCATAAATCACGTTAACGTAACGAAACTCGAACTCCAAACAGACGCGTCGAGGAGAAATAGAAAAGATGGAGGCGTGTGTGTGTGTGTGTGTGTGTGTGTGTGTGTGTGTGTGTGTGTGAGTGTGTGTGAGTGTGCGTGCGTGAGGCGCGCGCGCGGGATGAGCAAGGAAGAAGAAATAAAACAGGGAGCAAGCCTGAGGAAGAAAAGGGGGAACGGACGGGGACGGCGGCCTAATCTCAGCTTGCTAGTAAAGACATCAAATAACCCTCGCTTGCTTTTCTGCCTTTTTAGAAAAGAGAAAAGGAGAAACCATATCATATCATACCATCCATACCTTCCATAGCATACCATCCATATCCATTTCCGTTTTAACAAACATAAGCATAGGCATTGGGCGTTGCTCATTTCGTAAGAAAGCAGAGAAGGGGGGAAAAATAAACAAAAGCAAAAAAGAATTCCCAAACCCCATAAACCTCAGAATCAAGACTTCGTCTCCTCACTCTTCCCGTCCTTCCCACCAGAAGCCGCACCGGCAACAGCACCAGCGCCGCCCGTCGCCTCCTTAGGCTTCGCTGCATCACTACCACTACCGGCAGGAGCAGCAGCACCCTCACCACCCCCCTCGCCCCCCTTATTCTTCATATACTCATCATAAACATTAATAGCCTCATCGACCTTAGCCCGTAGCGCAGCGTCGTCATCAACCCTATCAGGTTTCAGTCAGCATTTAAAATATCCCAATACCAAACCACATCGCAGTAAGAACCCAGGAACGTGTAGAAAACTCACAAACTGAGCAACTCCGCATTATCCATCTCAAGCAACATCCCTGTGATCTTCCCCGCCAACTCTGGCTGCTGCGCCTGAATCTTGGGATAAATAGCCTCCCCAAGCATCTGCTTTTGCTGCGCCGGAGGCGCCGCACTAAACGCCTGAAGATTCAGTCCGCTGGGTCCCACACCAACACCCACGACACCGGCACCGTCATCACGAGGTGGCATCCCTGGCACAGGCCCACCAATACCACCCGCTCCTCCACGCCCCGCTTGGCCTGGTCGTCCACCCATCCCACCGGCTCCTTGAGGCGGCATGCCACCACGACCTTGCGCGAACCCTGGACCACCAGCCCCGCGCATGCCAGGAACATTGCCCATATTAGGTGGCATACCTTGCATACCCGGGACATGTCCGCGGCCACCACCACCCCGTCCGAACGAAGCTTGAACCTGAGCAATAGCTTGTGGGTAGGTGAGACCATTCGGAATACCGCCTGGACCCTGGAGTGCGCCGATGGGGAGTCCCTGGGCACCCAGGCCAAATGCATTTGGTGGAAGTTGTTGGTTGGGGCCGGCTAGACCGCGTCCACCTTGCTGTGGGAAGCCGCCGGGGTATTGTCCGGGTCGACCGCCTGGCATTCCGGGGAGGACCATGCCGGGTTGTTGGGCAAAAGCCATGCCACCGCGTTGTGCGTTTGCAGGGATAAATCCCTGCTGGCCAGGTGGGTAATAGACGGCAGGCTGCATGAACTGTTTTTATTTTAAGACTATTAGAACTCCTGTCGAATTTTTTTTTTTTTTTTTTGTTTTTTTCTTTTGGGGAGGGGGACGGAAATTTACCGGTTGGGACATTCCAGCGGCAGCAGCAACTTGCTGTTGTCGGATGGTATTACGAGCTTGAATGCTTGCCTCAAGCTGCAGACATCAACAGTCAGTGAGACGAAGAGGAAGAGACCAATCACAAAACTCCACAACAATAAATGTACGTACCTGGCTCTTGCGAACGTCCTTTCGTTGAGCAAGGGCAACATATAGAGGTTTGCCATTAACCATGCGCTGGTTCATCTCTGTGACCGCCTTGGAAGCTTCATCTGGATTGCTGAAGCAGACAAACCCAAATCCCTTGCTCTTCCCGAGTTTCTTATCAGTAGGTTTCTTGGTATCTGGCTTTTCAGCCTTGTCCGTCTTCTCAGCGGAATCTTCTCCACCAGCCTCCTTCTTAGTCTCCTCCTTCACGTTCTCTTTGTTATCCTTTGAGGCCTCCTTCTCTTTCTCAGATTCGGAACCAGCGTCGCTAATGGTGTCACGCATGACTCTGGCAGAGGTAATGTTTCCAAAACCGATGAAAAGGTCTCGTAGTTTCTCATCATCGATGTCGTCAGTCAAATTCTTGACGTAGAGGTTGACACCCTGGTACTTAGATGCCTTCTCGACACGAGCAGCCTCGTGCTGCTTGCGCAATTCCTCTTCTCGCTCGTGTTTCTTCTGTGCTCGTCCAACATAGAGTTTTTGGCCCTTGTATTCCTTATCATTTAGGTCTTCAACGGCAGCAGCAGCACTATCATGGTTAACGAAGTTGACAAAACCGAACCCTCTGCTCTTGCCGGTCTCGTTATCTCGGCTGAGCGATGCGGATGTGATTTCACCGTATTTCTCAAACAGCTCCCGGAATTCTTCATTGGTGACCTCAGGCTCCAAGTTCTTCACGTAGACGTTGGTGAAGTTGGCTTTCATCTCCTCAAATTTGCTCTGGCGGTCCTTCTTGGCGATGTGGTGGCCAACAAAGACCTTCTTCTCGTTCAGCAACATGCCGTTGACATGTTTGATGGCGTTGGTGGCGGCTTCAGCCGTTTCGTAATGAACAAAGCCGTAGCCCTTGGAGTTACCAAACTCGTCCTGAGCGACCTTGCAGCTGAGAATGTTGCCAAAAGCGGCGAAGGTATCGTGGAGAGCCTTGTTATCGATGGCAGTGTCCAAGTTCTTGATAAAGACATTGCCCTGGCCGGTCTTGCGCAGGGCAGGGTCACGCTGGGACCACATGATCCGGCATGGCTTGCCCTTGATAAGAGTGTAGTTGAGATCTTCGAGAGCACGTTCGCCATCAGCGGTGTTGTTGTAGTTGACGTAGGCATAGCCGAGAGAGCGTCTGGTGACTGCGTCACGGCAGACACGGATGGAAGCGACCTGGCCGATAGAAGAGAAGAGCTCGAAAAGCATAGCTTCAGTGACGGAGGGGTCTAGTTCACCGACGTAGAGGGATGCAGAGTGTGGTTGGGCGTTGGTAGGGGCAGCGGAGTTGGGGGTCTCGTTGCCATCAGCAGCACCTTCTGTCGCCACGTTCGTGTTGATGGTGGTACCATTCGTGGAGGACTCCACGGGATTAGTTTCTGGGACAACGGTGGATACTTCAGCAGAAGACATTTTGGCGGTCGAGTGGTTTGTTTTCTTCCGATATCTAGTGGACGGAAAGAGCAGCATAAGCAAGGCGAAAGAGTCCCAAAGAACACAGCACAAAACAGTGACCAGGGTGAATACTTCTTTTGCAGGAGTCAAGAGAGGGGAATGTGTCACCTCGCTTTGTGGTATTCTCCGGGGCGTAAAAGGCAGCAGGTATGGGGCCAGAAGGAATAACGGAAAGATGAAAAGAGCAGACGACGTGCACTGATAGAACCGAGAGGAAAGTCAAACGAGAGAATGACAGAGGATCTCGAGTACCTGGGGATATCAACAACAGCGAGATCTGTCAAATGGGGCATAGCGGGTTCAGTCAGTACAGACTCTATTATGGAGGAGTGGCGAGGGTAGATTCTGCGCTCTCTGTCCGGGATGGGACTGGTGCTGGTGCTGGTGCTGGTGCTGGTGAAGCAGCCGTTGATGTTGCCATGAAGAGGAAGAAGATGAACGAGAAGCCAGACACAATAGATCAGGCAGTAACTACAGGAAAAAGCGAAGAAAGACACAGTCAAGTCACTTACCAGGCAGATCCCGTGCAAGGCTCTTTTGAAGGGATTTTCAACTTTTTTTTTTTTTTTTTTTTTTTTTTTTTTGGGTTTTTCCGGCACGGTACGAGGGCTTTGGGGCCAGAAGAGTAGGATTAGGGAGAGGATGGGAAGGGAAGAGAGGGGGAACACTGGATCAAGACACAGCGTAGACCAGAAAGAATTGGGATTGGGATGGGATGTTGGGTTGTGTAGAAAGGAAGAGAAGAAGAAGACAAGACAAAAGTTACGAGATGAGGTTGAAGGTTTGATTTCAGTTAGTTGGTTCTGTGGTTTGTGGTTTGTGCTCTGGAAAAGAAAAAAAAAAGAAAAAAAAAAAAAAAAAAAAAAAAAAAAAAAGAGATGAAAAAAGAGACAGCCAACACAGTGATTCCTGTTTTATTTTTTTTTTTCTTCTTTTTTCTCCCTTTTGTCACCCCCTTTTTCTATTTTTTTTCCAATTTTTTTTTTTATTTATCTTTTTTGACTTGTTCCGTTTTGGATGGTCGTTTTGTGACTGGTGAAAAGAAAAGAAGAAAAAAAAAAAAAAAAAAAAAAGGAATTATCAGAGGAGAAAAAAGTGAAATGAAAACTTGGCTTTGTCCAACGGGAGACGGAGCTAGTCCTGATTAGGTAAGCAGCAGCAACAGCAGCAGCAAGCAGCGTCGAAACAACAGAAACAACAGAAACAACAGAAACAACAGACAACAGCAGACAACAGCAGACATCAACACCCAACGGCGTAAACATTCACGGCTGGCGACTGGCGGCTGCCAATGTGGATGGCAGCTTGCAACGGGCTGGGTGCAACGGGGCTGGGACTGCCCCATCCGAGACCCGTATTCGTCTGTCTCGCTCTGCTCCCGTCTCTGCCTGCCCCCTCCCCTTTTTGACGGCTGAGGCCTGTCTTCCGCCTCCCACAGCAATTCGGTTACTGGAAACTCCAGAGGGTTTGCACCAAAGGTGGAATAAAGCCTCCTAACGGCTCAAGTTGCTGGAGGGAGGGAGGTGGCACTGGTTTAATTGAGAGAGCCGCTGACTAGAACTTCACCCTGAAATAGAGACAATCTATCGATGCTCGACAACCTCTTCTCTTTTAAATACTACTCATCCAGACTGGCGCTGGAACTGTCGCAAGGCCTCTTCAACACTCGATTGCAGAAGTTCTTCTGCTGATTTTAGATAGTTAACTCTACTGCTCTTCTTATGCAGCAGCTTAGTCTCATACAGCCTCTCTCAACATCAATCATTTTGATGTGGTGTCCACTGCGGAGATGTCATTACGGCGCACTAGTGAACCAAACATGACACTCCAAATACATGCGCAGCTTCATGAATCGAGGCTGTTTCTTGATTTCAAAAGACTGGTATTGCAAGTTCAAAATGCTTCCCTGTATCTCGATAGAGTTTTTCTGCATTTTTATTGCCAATAGGTGGCGTCTTCTCGTGTTGAAGCGAGTGAATTAGGACATTGAAGAATAACTAATTACTCTGTGAAGGTTTGCTCACTGTGGGTGGTTTGCTGTGTGGGAATTTAGGGGAATTACGTTATACGTACTTAACTGCCCACTATCTTACCAATCTATCGAACATAACTATTGATCCTCATGTGTGCGGTGAGGACATGGGGCAGAGGGAAAGCAACCAAACGCTGTCTGCTCGCAGACGCAGTGTGCAGTGTGTCTATCCATGCCCTGCTGCATGATGACAGTCAGGGCAGATAGTGCTTGCTTTCTAGAAGTACGTAGCACATCCACCGCGACGACGACGACGACGACGACGACGATGACGACGACGACGATAACGACTAACTAGTTATACTGGCAGATGCCTTATCAGGGACATGGGCTTCGTGCATTCGTGCATATATTCAGAATCCACCGCAAACTTATAATGAGATGTCTGACGGTGAAGAAATTCAAGAGAGAAAAGAAGAGGAAGACAAATGAATTTGAGCGGCCAAGGAAGAAACTTTTATGTAGATTTAGCAGTATGGACGTCTTGATCCCAGTATGCCCGCATTGCAGTCCCTCTTTTTAAGCAGAGAGAAAACATCGAAAAAGGTGGAGAATGAAAATTAGAAAGCTTTCTAAGCCACGAATGTTTTTTTTCAAAGGAAGTAAGTGAAGCGGGAAATAGCTATCTCCATCCATCGTGAGGAAAAAATAACACAGTTTGAACCTATCTTCGGGGGTCAAAAAATTGATTCACTTGTCCCAAAAAAAAAAAAATAATAATAAATAAATAAATAAATAAATAAATAAATAAATAAATAAATTAGAAAAGAATCATCCCCTCAACTCAAGTCAAACCCAGCCCCTGAATTAATCGCATACATAAGTTTCTCCCTCAACGTCTCCCGCCTCGTATACCTCGGCAACTTCAGCAGATTCGCACAGGTGCTCGTACTAGGCAACCTCTCCTCGTCCACGCTCGAATCCCGAATGCTGAACCGCGGGTTCAAATGGCTGAACCCCAACAGCGGCGCCCGCGGCGTCGACGTCACAAACTTAAGTACCTTCCGCCTCTCCTCGTTCGTCATCGCCTCCATCACCTCCCAGAACAGCTTGATGGTCGGGTGCTCCTGCCCATCGTCACCCACAATGTACACGCCGCTGTAGACGGTGTTGCGGCGGAGGTCGGAGACATCGATCTCGCCCGCTTCACCGCCTACTAGCGTCTGCAGTTCGGACTGGTTGAACATGGACAGCCAGGATGGCTGGATGATTGTCCCGAGCCCCTGGAGGAAGGCGTTTGTTTGGAGGTACGGTTGGGCTTGGAGGCGATGGCGGGCGATGTAGGAGATGTAGACGAGGCGGTTCTGGTTTGTGACGGGGATGTCGGAGCCGTGGGGTTTTAGCTCTTTGGTTGTGCTTTGGGTTGTTGTGTAGGGTTTGCCCGTGGGTGTTGTGAGGGGGACGGTTACCGTATCGGTTACGGTGAAGTTCAGGGAGAAGTCTTCGACGTCACCGGGGTAGTTTTTTAGTTGAAGCTGGGTGCGGGGGATGGGGTGGTTAGTCAAGTGGCCATGACATGTTACTGGAAAAGAGGGGGGCGTTCAGGGGATGGTAGTTGGTGAGCGGTTTAAATGGGATAACTTACCAATCCCTGGTACAGGCTCTCATCGAGATCCCGTACATCATTGAGATTAGCGCGGTACGACGACTCCTTGCGTGCCGAACTCGTACCCCCTGTCAAAGCCCACTTCAACAAAAAGAATCCCGCAAAGCTGACATCAACCAGAATCCCCTCGTAAAGACACTTGCCTATAATCCGACCCAGAAACTCATACCGTTTCAGTATATCCTTAATCTCCCTATTCCACTCCACGCTCCTCTCTTTAACACCCTGATGCCGAAGCTGCGCCTTTCGCTGCTCGACAATAGTAGGATTCGGATAAAGCAGGTGCTGATCATTTTCAATGAACAGGCTAGAGTCGCCGGATGGATTAAACGCGTCACCGATAACGCTAGTTAGGAACTCCTTCGTAACGCCGCCCCCGTCTATTCCTGCTTCCTGCGTGCCGAATTTATCAATAAATGAGATCTGTATGGGTTCTTTCAGGCCGTCACCCAGGTCGTAGAATTGTTCGAAAGCATCCTGAAATAGGGACTCTCGATTTATGGTCGCATGGTGTTTACTTAAGACGTCATTCCCCAATCTCCCATCCTCACCTAGGGAGTGGTGAGCAACAGAGAAGCGCCAGGAGTCGGGATCGATATAACCTCGTCGTCTCTGCACCTGATCTCTGTAGATGAACTCGCGGAATATCTGAACGCGGGTAGCGAACGGTATGAAAAACGGTATATTCCGCAAGATCTCCAGACGAGGTGCAACAGCTTCTAGCTCTTTCCTCCGCGCAACTTGCTGATATCGCTTTCTGAACTCTTCGATACGGCGAAGCTGTTGAGCTCGCCCAGTGCCTATAAGTGTTCGAGATTGATCCAATCCATCATCCGTTGTCTCATCCTGGGCCTCGTCGCTTTGTTCATCATCCTCGTCTTCTTCTTGGAGTTGGTGTCTGTTTTCCTCCTCGGCAACGACCGTGGGAATGAACCCTTCCATATCAAAGCGATCAACCATCAGAAAAAGGCCATCGGGCAAGAACTTACGCCTCGAGCTAATATGATCATATTAGTTATCTCCAGATTTCAATATTCACGAGGCGAAAGTAGAAAAAATATCACTTACTCCCTCTCATGCACCATGCGTAGCAAACCCGTCACCAGCCCCTTGAAATAATCCAAAGGAATTCCAGTAGCCCCAACAAGAATGCTGCTGGCATTGGATTTTAGAGTCGAAGAAGCTGGCTCTGGAGATGTACCACCGGTTACAAAATAATTGCGAATACCACCTGGATCATTAGTTTCTGCTTCTGAAGCTGTTAAATCTGCCGCATTCCAATAGAGCGTAAATGCCAAATTCTTCAAGAAAATAGTTAACTCTTTCACATCCGCGAGGGGGAGAGCGCTCTCTTGTGTCCACGAGTCATTGGGGTTTTTAGTAGTTCTCCCCAGAGAAGGTGTGACGGAAAAGAATTCATCGTCATCCAATACTTTAAGGAGAAATGTATAAAGCTCAAGAAACAACAGAATGATTGTCCATTCTCGGTCACGATCGTTGCTTTGTTGGACTACTCGATTTCCTTCCTGAGAACTACGGGCTGAAGCTGGTTGAAGCATTGCCAGGACATCACGCGAGTTTTGCACTATATTCCGAAACACGTTTGTTGACCTAGAGGCATGCCAAAAATACTTAATGGCAGGGAGACGACCTGTGGCGGAGTCACCATCTTTTCCTGTTCCCATTGCGGAGCCTAAGTAGAGCCACATGCGTATTTCATCTCCCCTCTTAGCGAAAACTCTCAGAAGTGTTAGTGCATAAGCCGCTAATGCCTTTGCATCCTCTGATGCCTGGTGCTGCGATTGTTGAGAGGCTCCGGAGGTGGGGGATTTACTTGATTCGGCCTGTGTTAGAAGATGTGTGATGCTATGCTGATCGACAAGGGTGAGAAGTTGACTCCGAATGAAAGGAGGAAGAGGCGTGAGCCCAGACTGAGTCAGCTCTTCAATCCCAAGCCCGCGGGAAACATCACCAGCAATAGGGCTGAGTAGGCCCGTCACGACTTTCACAAACAAGGTCTCTGGAGATTGCTTGACTACGCCACCACCCATCGCATGTTGGTGGAAGAAGATAAAATAGGAGAGCAGCCAAAGCCGTTTGTCCACATCTTTCAGTTGGAGAAAAGAATCCGTGGACGGTAGGATGTGTGAATCTATTGCGGAGGCCAGAAGTTTGTAGTTCACCCCAGTAGCCAGGTCATCAATCTTTCCGAGATGGTGGTCAAGAGACGGGACTGTTAGGTAGTTTCGGCCAAACCATTCGTAAGCATCGAGGGTTTCCGATGTAATGGGTTGAAGAAGAGCGAGCACACTCTTCACCACCATATCCCTCAGCTGACTGAAATCCAGCGCGGGTGTCCGAAGGTTTAGAGTTATCGAAGCTAACACGGCATAATACTGTTCAGCCAGACGGGTGATTTGTTTCGGTATCAAAACAGACAGAAAAATAACGAGCCGAAGAAGATCATTCACCACCGACACAGGCGCAACGGACGTGGGCGCCACAGCAAGAAACTTCAGAACAACCCCTCCAAACCGCTCAAGTGTGAGTGTCCACTCCCCATCAGGCTGGAGAACAGGAGCTTCCTCCAAAGTCATCTGGAAACACTTCCCAAAATATGACAGCCGCGCCCAATCATCCCGATCCTTAACCCAGACAAAACGCAGCAGCTTCCTCAGCTGAGACAGGCAGTCCGTAGGGTTCGTATATGGCCGCGGAGTAGCCACCCAGGAGTCCAACGATCCCACGTCTGAACCAGCGGAGAAGACATCCAACCCTCTTCTCCTCTCCACATCATCCCACTCCTGTCTCCACGTCTCTTTCGTTACCATCCGGGATTTGTGTCCCCTCCACGTGCGCTGCAAGGTGCGGCTAGCATTCAACCTCTCCCGGTCCAACTGTCGCTGAAGCCGTTCCTGTTGCGCGAGGGCAAGGGTTGATTGCGGTCCCGGGCCGGCTGGAGTAGGACGTCCCGAAGGGTGTGCGGCGAAGGTATTTGTTGATCTGTTTGAGAGGTTGACCTGTCGCGGTCTGCGAGAGCTCCCTGTAAATGACTGGAACATGGTTGCTCTCACGGATGTTGGGTGAGGGAGGAGTGCCTGGTGGGCAAGGTGAGATACGGTTAGTTATCAACGCTGAGTGGTGGTGAAGGGGCGGCGGGAGGTTGCAGCAAACATGTCCATGCTTCAGGTGGCCGGACTCTAGCTGGATACGGCCATGGAGGGACGGACGGAAGACGGGAATATCCGCAGGATGCTATGTCAACCTGATGATGGTGCTTGAAGCTTCTCGAGTATTGGAGATGATTGAATTTCGGTCTTCTCCAGATTGGGGACCAGGAACATGGATTACAAACAACGGCGTCATCGAGGGAACATCCGCGAACATTAACTTACCCCCGGGCACCATTGTGCTGCTAAGATCTTTTCATTAAACAAATACAACGCGCGCTCTAATAAATATATAAACGAGACGATAGAAAAATAGTCCAGACATATTAGTAGCAATATTGATTGTAGGAAATGATTCCAATTAAGAAGCCAGTTTAAATACGCACAGTCTAAAGTTTCCAACGCCGAACTAGCAACTATATTCCAACCTCCCAAACCTCAGATGGGACAATTCTCAACGAACGGGCGGGCTGACAATCCTCTACGTGGAGCATTGAGATGTGACTCGAATATATGAGGTATTCTCCTACCCTAGTCAAGTATCTTTCAATAGAAACCCTGTCCCGTCCGCAAAGGGCGTACATTCGCCGCAGCTCTTTTGCTGACTCCGGACCGACGCTCCTTCGTGCGGTCTCTTCGATTCATGAAAAATGGACTCTGAGGATCAGAGGAAAGATTCAAGCTGACTGCAGTTCTTGTTCATTTTCAGGAGTCTACCATCCCATGTATTGCTGCATGACACTCGCGGTAAATAACCAGGGACAAGTCAGTACGCGTCGAAGGGAACCATCTACATATACAACTGATGAGGTAGACCGGAGGAGAAGCCTCAATCAAGTAGCGTATCCTGCCATTTTGCAAGTGTTGTCGAAAAATCCCGTTTGTCCAGAGAAATACGATCAAATCGCAGCTGGAAAACGCCGCAGAAGGACACTCTGTAGCGGGCTACAGGGCTTTGACGAACAGATGTTCCTAGAAACACAAGGATGGTGACAGCAAGACCCAAAGAGGAGTCTCAAGTTCAAAAGCATCCTGCACCTCAATTCAGGCACCGCAGTGCAGAAAGATCGTATGAAGATCTGGAAATCTCCAGGAATGATGAATGAGCGGAGTGTTGGGGAAATCGATGTTTGACTCGAGGAAGTTGAGGTTGGCTGGAGCCACGAGCCGCGAGGATTAACATGTTAATTCGCTGGCATCACGTTCAATTTAGCTGTTCAAACATGCATCAATTGCGGTATCTGAGACGTTGAGATTGCACTTTTGAGGATATAAGACTCATGGGCAGTCTTAAGAATGCATGTTTATTTATTTATTTATTTATTTATTATAACTGAAAGTGTTTCTGGGATCAATTGCGTCCACACTACAATTATTAGTTAAATATGATATGGTTTCTGGTCCGTTACGCCTTTTGAATCAACAAAGGCTTACCCTGCCAAAGCAAATATACAGAAAAAAATTGCAATGTTTGACAGATTCTTGAACATAAAGATATAAATCCTTTTTCGCCTGGAACCTCTAATCACAAAACCAACAGAATACGTAGTGTATTATTGTACATAAGAAAAAAGGAAAACGAGAACTTATTCTCCCAAAATAATCATGGAGAAGCGCAGTTTCGCGATACTCCCCCATATCGTAAGACACCGGCACGCACCGTAGATGCCTCTGAGTAGATCGCCGGGGGCCAACGAAACTCACCCGGTATCGGAAAACAAAATGTTAACGAAAAAGCTGGACCAGCAAGAAAAAATCAGGGCACTTGGTTTCTTGGACTCTTGTTGCTACTGTTGTCCGCCGCCGTTGACTCCGTGTACTGTTCTGAAGTGGTTTCAGCTACTTCTGACTCTACAGCTGCACCGTCCTCTTCGACAACCTCTCCCTTCCGGTACCGTTCCAGTTGATCAGACTCTAAAACGTTATTCGCATACCAATCGTCGAGGTAATCCTTTCCATCCATCGCCCGTGGCGCCTCCACCTTCCGCTCGCCGATCATTATCGTTTTCGTGTACTGCGTTCTTGTGGGCTCCATTCGTTTCGTAACGAATGGGGTGAGCTGTTATGGGCTGTAGGGTTAGTAATCTGGGCGCATAACTCAGAAGAAGAAGAGGAAGAAGAAGAGGAAGAAGAAGAAGAAGAAGAAAAGGGGAAGAGCAGTGAGGAGTGAGGAGAGATGAGAGTGCCCGCACAAGGCATAAAGACATAAAACCGACCTTGAATGTATCCAGTCCCTCTGGAACGACATATGTGCGAACTTTCCGCCAATCGATATAGTATGTGCCTTTTCTCTTGCCAAAAAATCCAACATTGCCTGTCCGGTTACCCTTGTAATAGCCTCCGTTGACTTGCTTGGTGGTCAACCGCAGCCGCGCATTCAGACATGGTGTGGGTTTAAACATGGTTTCGGAGGAATTGTCGATGAACCAACCATCCAAGGCTACCTAGGTTGAGTGACCAATCGCCAGCCTCTTGTCCTCAAAACGTCGTTGTCATGCGGGGAATTGAGGATTTCGTTTTGTCCGTCGGCTTGGTGGGTGTATGATTATATCTATTATGTGGTTATTCTTGTCTTGTATTGAGGAAGCTTGGACTAGCGCCAATTTGGGTGAACCGAGAAACTTTTTTTTTCTCGGGCGCAGATCGCGGAAATCTTATTTTAATTGTATCTACGGATAGAATGTTTTGCTGAATACAAATAGATTTCGCATTGTGCAACAACCCCATATCCTGATGCAATTTCTCCTCGTTTATTTATTTATCTGTGTTCTCTTCCCCTTCCCGTAAAGGGAATTAATTACAACAACTATGGCGGGAAGACAGTCGAACCAACTGCGGTCAAAAGAGCAGCTCCGCCGTCCAAAACCCAAAGGAAAGAAGAAATCTACAAGGGGAGGTCTGGATGCTTTGACTATTGTGGGACACCAGTATCCCTCGAAGTCGGGAATTCGGAAACATCGCATGGGCGTGGAAGAAGATGACGGCTCAAGCCGCAAGAGACGTGGCGGTGCGTCAAGACTTGATGCGAAAAACGACTCCTCCCGGCACCCGTCGAAACGACGGAGAACGGGCGATAATGATGACGACAGCGAAGATGCAGACTCAAGCGACAATTATGGGAGTGATAGTGAGGGCAATGAGTGGCAGCTTGGTCGAGTCGATGAGGACGATGATAGTGACATCGATAGTGACGAAGCGATGGGTGAGAGTGATGGGGAACATTTCGATGGGTTTAGATTTGGTGGGAGTTCCAAACCCAAGCCCAACTCGAAGCCGATACCGAGGAAACGAGGTGGGGAAGATTTTGATTTATATGAAGGTGATGGGGAATTGGAGGATGATGGTGGTGGTGATGACGATCTTGGGGAAGAAGCGGTGGATCTTGCTACAGCCTGGGATATGAATGCGGAAGAGTCGGAATTAGACGATAAGGGAAAAGCAAAGAAACTAAAGAGGGATTCTCGCTCTGGGATTGCGGATAAAGGTGATGGCATTGATATTACTGGCAGTGAGCTTGAAGGGGAAGAAGATGACGAGCATGATGATGACGAGGACGACGACGACGACGAGGACGATGCGAGCGATGCCTCTGGACTATCTATCTCCGATGAGGATAATATAAACGAGCGCGGACTCTCAAAATTACAAATGTTCGTCAAGGCTATGGAGAGAGAACAACTCCGCGACGGCAAATCGAAAACTAAGCAGACTGCTACCACTCAAGGCGCCCAACCTACAGAATTTGGCCTCATGCCTACACGGAAACTTACAGCTGCAGATCTAATACCAACCATCTCTGACTCCCGTATGCGAGGGTCGTTAAAACACCTCGATGCCGTTCCTTCAACTAAGAAGAGCAAGACAGGGATAAATGGGAAGCTGGAAGTGCCGCTTGCCAAACGGCAGCAGGATCGTATTGACCGTGCTGCCGCCTACGAAAAGAGCAAGGAGGCCCTGAATCGATGGATTGAAACCGTCAAGGCTAATCGAAGAGCTGATCATCTCTCTTTCCCGCTACCCGAACCAAACGCCCTACAGAAGTCAACCATTGTTGACACGAAGCCAAGGACGGACCTTGAGAGTACTATTCAGAATATCCTCGTGGAGAGCGGCCTAGCGGACGAGCAAGATAAAACGGGAGAAGCTCGCATTCAAGAATTTGAAGAATTACAGGCGAAGAAGCTTCCTCTGGAGGAAATACAGGCCCGTCGGGCTGAGCTACGAAAAGCCAGAGAATTGCTTTTCCGTGAGGAGGTTCGAGCTAAGCGGATTAAGAAAATTAAGAGCAAATCGTACCGTCGTGTTCATCGCAAGGAGCGGGAAAAGATGGAACTTCGAGAAAGAGAAGCTCTTCTTGCTGCTGGGGTTGATGTTAACGAGGAGGACCGTGAAAAACTTGACCGACGCAGAGCGGAAGCTCGAATGGGAGCGAAGCACAGGGAAAGCAAATGGGCTAAAAGCCTTAAACAAACTGGAAGGACAGCCTGGGATGATGAAGCACGGCTCGGAATGGCAGATTTGGCGCGGAGAGAGGAGGAGCTGCAGAGCAGAATCCTGGGGAAACGGGTCACTTCCGGACAGGAGGAGTATCTACGGTCCTCAAGTGAGGAATCAGAAAGTGAAAGCGACGCGGGCGAGGATGGGTTTGGTTCGGATGCTGAGACGCAACGACTGAAGAAGAACCTCAGTGAGTTGGGTCAAAACAGGAACGACAAGGAAGAAATCACCGGGCCATATGCAAAGTTACTTTCGATTAAATTCATGCGCAATGCGGAAGCTGCACGGAAGGCTCAGAATGACGCTGAAGTTAAAAAGCTCCGTCGTGAGCTGGATGGCGAGTATTCACAATCTGACACCGAGATGGCTGAAGTGGGCCATCAAAAGTTTGGTCAACAGGCTGCCACCGAGAAGTCTGCCGTTACGGCTACCAAAAGGCAAGAATTCGAGGAACCGGATTCCGATACCAACGGCAAGGGACACGTCGAGGAATCGGATGAAGATATCGATATCAAGGTTGACAGAAAGCCCGCTCACAAATCTACGGCACGCAGCTATCGTCCTTTCAAGACACACTCCGACAAAGCCAACGTGGACACAACAAATGATGATGACTTCGAGTCCAACCCGTGGCTCTCACAGCCAAAGAGGAACTCCGGGAAGCAAACCAACGCATTGGATGCTGCAGGTGACATTACGCTGATCACCAACGGCACTGTTGAGGGTGTCACCTCTCCGCTTCCCTCTTCAGAACAATCAATGCGCATCACCGCCCCCAAAAAGAAAGCCGCAAACGACTCGCACGGCAATAAAGCTGCTGCCACCACCACAACTGCCAACGGCGACAACGATGATGAAAGCGGCGACGACTCTGACGAGGCACGTGTACCCGTACTCCTCAAGAACGCAGATCTTGTCAAGAAGGCATTCGCAGGCGACGAGGTACTGGCTGACTTCTCCAAGGAGAAAGTTGAGACTGTTGAGGAGGAGGGTGACAAGGTCATCGACACTACGCTGCCCGGATGGGGATCTTGGGCTGGCGCGGGCTTGACGAAACGGGAGAAGAAAGAGGCTAAGGCGAAGCGGTCATTCGTTACGGAGGAGGGCGTTAAGGCCGAGAAGAGGAAGGATGCGAAGTTGGATAGGGTTATTATTAACGAGAAGAGGGTTCGGAAGGTATGTTTTGGAGATGGATGTTGTTGTCTCTTTGGCTTTTTTTTTTTTTTTATTTTTTTTTTTATTTTTTTATCCAATACATGGTTGGCAGCCGGGCAGTTGGTGGCTGTTCTCCAATTTTTTTTTCCTGGAGGTTTTCCATGGCTTCATTCATATTTTCCATTTCACTAACAACCGTCAAAAATATGAATAGAATACCAAGTACCTCGCGTCCCAGCTTCCACATCCCTTCGAGTCCAGACAGCAATATGAACGCTCTCTCCGACTGCCTATCGGTCCGGAATGGACGACCAAAGAGACATTCCAGAACGCCACGAAGCCCCGCGTCATGCTCAAACAGGGGGTTATCAAGCCACTACAGAAACCTCTATTGTGATCGGGGGTGTTTCTTTTCTTTTTCTTTCTTTTCTTTTTCTTTCTGTCACCCACCCTGTTCGTAGAGTTCTTTTGATTCTGGTGATACTTACCGAGAATAGATCCAAAAACTATCTCCTATGTTTAAAGTTTATGGGATTGTTTTTCTGCATGTATATTCTATCCAGGGACGGACGCATGGGAACATTAGAACGGGGACATGTGTTAAAAATACGTGATATATTTAATTTCTGTTACTTTGTCGCTGGTGTTGTGATGATACCTATGATATTCCTCCCTGCAGGCACCCTCCTTTATGAAGTCCATGATATAATAATGTGTTTGAAGGAGTCTGCTGCCCGTTCATTGCGTGGTGGTATCTCCGCTGCTTGACCCAAACCTTAATCCGCTGGTCTCAAAAACAACAAGACAGAAATAACCTGGCCTCCTGATGCATGCATGCCCTAGCTGCAAATCTCTCTGAAAAACGGTCTTCTGGCACAACCATGTAGTACAAAACAAAATTACCCCGAGACGCCGCAGAAATATAATGTCTCATTTTCTGTTTATAATGAAACAACAGGTTAAAAATTTGAAATGTTAAATCAGAGATAAACTTTTTAGCTTAACTATAGTTAATTCAAAACTTAGTAGATACAAAACTATCAAGCAGTAACTAATGTTGTTATCATAAACAAGATATAAATAATTTATTTAAAAGCAAATTGTGAATGTTGACAATCATTAAAAACTTGAATAATTTTCAAACAAGAGTAGTCAGAAGTTATACTTTGTAACTTTTATCTTGGGAGTTATGTGTTTAATATAGCATCTAACAAACAGTCTTGAAAAACATAACATCCTTATCATAATGAAGGAAATATAAAATTGAAAACAATCACTAAAACTAGTAATATAAATAAAAATATCTTATATCTGTTCTAATTTTAATACAAAGATGTATTTGAATAACATTTCTCCATAAGTTCTATACTTCTACATATGATATTTATATATATATACATCTCTCGCTATCCACAACAACAACAACAATAACAACAACAACAACAAACGATCTTAATCTGATTCTGCTGTCCTAGGGCTTATCGTAACTGGTGCCACTGAGCCCCTCAAATTATCCGGATTATATGAGTGGGTCCAGATTACATGCTCAAAAACCCACCAACCTGATACTGGAATCATCCATGATTCTTAATTTCTTCATGGCAAGCAAGCATGACTCCATCAGCTGTACCTTGGTAGTTCAGAGTGATATGACATCCAAGCTAGAAGCGGAAATCCCCGTGGAATAACAGGATTTCCAGCAGGTTCTCACCCAAGCAAACCTGTCAAGCTCTCTGCTGTAAACAGGTCAATCACGTGCAGCCGCTAGTTCATATGACAGACCCCTTCTTCTTCCTTCTCTGAACCTGGGGGAAGTTCCAACTCCTCCGTATAACAGAGACCGAAGACCAGCGCAGAAAAGAACAAGGACGCCACCGAAGCGCGGGTGCCAAGCCTGCTCTGAGCTGCTCTGAGCTGCTCTGAGCTGCTCTGTTTATCCAATAACTATAAAACACACCGGATGAAAATAGTCCTCGGCATCTTGGTCAGCAGTCTGATGGAAATGTTTGACGGACAGAGTAACTAGTTATCGTGAGGAGAGGAGGGGGGGGGGGGGGGAGGGGGGGGTGCCACAGCTTATTATTCAACAAAAGACGCATCAGCCGATGGATGAATTAATTCCACTGTTATGGAAATGCTGGCTGCTTTCTCCTCACAAGAGCTGCGTGTGCGGAGATCTCAGCCTTGCAGCAAGAAAAATGGAGGGCAAACGAAGGGGTTTTTTTTTTTTTTTTTCTGTGTTGCTATATCCCTCATCCACACAGCCATTGGGGCTGGGCCTTTCCAAGGTGGTTGGTTTGCCGCCCCACAGAGCCACCGCAGATCCGAGCTAAAGGAGATCAGGGGATCTCCAGCAGCGCCAGCAACCCGAGGTCACCCTAGTTGACGAGACCCACTCTGTATCAGCAGAGGGGTAGCTTGTTCCAACGTCATTCAATGCGAAATAAGGGATGTTGTGAATTCTCAGAACGGCGACGGCGGCGGCGATATATAAAGGCACGTTGATTGTCTGATCTGGAACCCTTTTTGAAGAACACATCTGATGTTGTCAAATATGGTTTTGATCGAGCATACATTTGGATGCTGTGATTTTGCTGTCAACGATCCATCCATTCATTCATTCATTATTTTTTTTGGGAAGCTAGCTTTGCTTGGTTGTTGATTCAGGTAATTATAGATAGTTAGTGGATCAAGTGGTCTTAGGTGAGCAAGATTCCCTCTGGAGTAGTTACAGTTACATCACATTACAGTCATTCGAGGAAATGTCAATTGTCACTATTAGTTTATTGCCCATCACCCAACCTCCAGTTATGTTCATTCTCTATATTATTCTCCCGCTGTCCCGCTGTCCCGCTGTCTCTCTAACCTCTGCATCTTCCTTTTTACTCTGTGCTAGTTCTTGTTTAACTGATCGTCTCTCTCTTTCTCCCCCTCCCCCTTTTTTTTTTTTTTTTTTTTTTTTTTTTTTTTTTTTCACACCCGCCAAAATGGGCTTGCAAAATCCTTTTCCCTCTGCGGAGGGGGCATCTCTCCTGCCCCCTTTTTGAAGCTTCTTCAAAGTTTTGAGTTTCCCATTTCTTCATCTTCGTCTCGTCTCAAACAACCACACTCTCTTTTCTTCTCTTCTCTTCTCGTCTCTCGTCTCTCTCTCTCTCTCTCTCTCTCCCTCTCCCCCTGTCCTCCTTTCCTTTGATTTCTCCCGCCGTTTGTTTGTTCTCGCACTCGTTTCACGCTCCTTTGGTTTGGTGTCGGGTCCTCTCAGAGGGCTTCAGCCCTCCGCCAGCTACTTGCAGTGGCTAGAGAGGTTTTCCTTTCTCCTGCATCCTGTTTTCTCCAGCCTACACTGTTGTAGCGCTCCATGATACCAATTTCCTTCTCCTGCTCCTCTCGCTCATTGTTTCTCTCACCATCGACAGTGGCCGTCTCTCATTTTCCTATCCACTCCTAAGGGCAACTGGCTTGCGGCGTTGATTAGCACCATCAGCAGATGGTATTCTCTACGTCAATATGGCTTGTAGCCATGTTGCTGATGGCCATGCAGTGCCTACCTGGAGTCCGAGCTTTTCGTTGCCTTTCAGGTGTCAATTGTCTGTGCGATAATGTGGACGTCGACATCCCTTCCTTTTCTCTCGTGACTCAGTTTCCACCAACTGGTGTACGGCTGCAAGCTACTAGAACTCCAGGGGTATGTAGTCTGTTATACAAATGTCCTGCGAAAAGACTCCTAAGGATTTATTAACAGGAATCCCCAGGTATATCACACTGAATTAGAGAAAGACGTTCGCGATAGCATTCAACCATTTCCAACGGGCATCTCCTACGTCGTATTTGAAGATCATATCGGCTTACCTCACCCAGAATATCCGCACCTAGATATTGTCCCTTCTAAGGTTCTTTATTCCAACTCCGCTTGTTATTACAAAGGCAACTGGTGCCCTGGCCTTCCACACGCGGAAGAAAATCGAATCTCTAGTTGGCTCCTTGACCAAAGCACTGGTGCGCCACCTAAATTCGCTACAGTGACCTCATCAAAAGTTCGATCCGGATCACCTTATCACATTCCACTATATCTGGCAGCACCCAGTGCAACGTCAAGAAGCCCTCCGAGAGAAACTGCTACTGTCCACCCTTCTGGAACGGCGGGGCATTCTCAAACTTTAGAAATATCAACTAATATCCCCCATCCCACTCCCAGCAGTATGTCTCACCAAGATATATTCGAACCAATCGACAAAGGTCCAATCCCATCCAATATCAATTCAAGATCTGACCATCCTGTACGAAAGGATCATATTGTAAGTTCTTAATCTTGTTCTGAACTTGGATTGTATTTCTCACATCAATTTGCAGTCGGATACTCCTGGCCCAATATCTACAAACAAGTTTTACGCAAACTTCTTTCTTGGCACCCAGACCGGCTATGCGTTCGTCCATCCATACGCAGTGGGATGGGCCAAAGGGACAGGGAATGCAAGAAGCTATGGTGTCCTCATATCTCATATAGAATCCCATCAACTGGCGTTTGGCCCAAAGAGCCAGGTAATTCCTGGCAATCCAGTTCAGTTCTATATCAATCCCATTGGGATTCAGTCAATGATTTTGTCTGCATCCGAACTTGGTACTTCCACGGTCTTGACTGTTTCAAAAGCCAAGGCATTTTCCGCGAATATTATACTCCGTCCCCATCGCGGTTCAAATTCTACCATTATATTCCCTTTAGTTCAAGGCATGGGGTATGTAACCGGTATATACACGGGTCTGCAGCCGGCGATACAGTCCAGTGTGTTTTTCCGAAAGCTCGAATCTGTAGCCTCTCCCAAGCCAGGCATATACAAATACAAAGTCACCCTGGAAGACAACACCCATTGGTTGATTTACGTGACACCCTCAGGAAACGGAGGTAATCCAAACCTCGTGCTGGTATCAAATACCCTCATCAGTGGTCCGACTGGGTATAGTGGCATTATCCAGGTTGCTAAAAACCCTAGTGGCTTAGCAGGGGAGGCAATTTACGATCGGACGACTGGTGTTTATCCCACAGAGGCCCATGTATCAGGGTCTGTCGTGGCTCATCAAGCGATGGGGACTTATAAATTGTCTTGGCAGAAGGCCGGGAAGAATGTTAACAGCACCCCGCTGCTAATGTTCGCATTGCCTCACCATGTTCAGTCCTTCGACACTCACACCAACCACATGAAAACAGACATGCTTCTTCGAACAACAACAAAAGGGAATGCAACTGCCTGTGTTGGAAATTCATGGACCATGGTGGAAGAGAATCTTCCTGTTAACATCGGATTTGGCCCTTTTGATCCAAACACCGGAAGAGAAGCTACTCTCTCCAATGCCACGAGGCAAAGGATTAGAGAAGTGGCGCCAAGCGAGCTCTCCCAAGATATCAGTCGGCAAACAAATCTCAATAGCATGTACTTTAGCGGGAAAGCACTCAATAAGTTTGCGATGTTGGTGTACACCGTTTATGAGTTAGCTAAGGATGCCAGCTTGTCGGAATCTGCTTTCAGCTCACTGAAGAGTGCTTTCGCAAGGTTTGTT